CTAATCTTAGCAGAACAAGTTATCATTACAGCTACTATTCATGCAGTCCTCTTAAAAAAGGAGGATATGAGAAGCTGAAATGAACATATCGGGCATGTTGTTGTTAAGTGCCATCGAGTCGCAGGCAACTCATAGCGACCCTATGAAGGAGAGTCCTTGACGCTTGGGAGCCTTTCATCCTCTCTCCAGGTTCATAGGGTTTCCAGAGGCAAGCTATTATGGAAGTGGATGCCACTCCTCCTTCTGTGTTGTAGGATAAAAGACAAAGAGTTGTAAGGTTAATTCTCATGGCACGGCCACCCTGTAAACCAGACTACAGCTGCCCTAGTAGAGCTTCCAAGGCTGTAAATTCTTATCAGCAGGCTCCCTCAGTTTTCTTCTGTGGAGAGAATGAGGAGTTCCAACTGTTAACATTTTATTTAGTGGCTGAGTGCTTAACTACAGCACCACTAGTGCTCCTCTTAGATCCTCATAGATGTTTTGTTGTTATTGTTATGGGCCATCAAATTGACTCTGACACAAAGCGACCTTATGCACAATAGCTCTGAACCCTGCTCTATCCTAAGCCAATCTCACTGCCTCAGACACATCTCCTATCATTAACCCAGTCACAATGTCAATCTGTTCCTCTCCTGTGCTGCCCTTCTGCCCTTCCAAGCATGATATCCTTTTCCAAGGACTGATCCCTTCTGGAAATAGGCCCAAAGAATATGAGATAGAGCTTCAAAATTCTTGCCTCTTAAGGAGCTGCATGGTTTCACGCTCTAGGACAGATCTGTTTGCTCTCTTGGGAGTCCATATTATGTTCAGCACTCTTCTCCAGCAACACAACCCGAAGGCATCAATTCTTCTGTCATCTTTGATCATTGTCTAGCTCTCTGATGTAATTGTGAAGACCATGGCCTGTATCACGCACATCCTGGTCTTATCATCGTTGCTCTTCAACACTCTGGAAAGGTCCCTGACAGCAGATTTTCCTAATGCAATTCATCTTTAGATTTACTAACTACTGGTGCCGCTTGTTGATTGTGGAATTGAGCCAAACTGAAATTGTTAACAATCTCAATCTCTTCTCCATTTATTATGGTGCTACTAATTGGTTCAGTAGTGAGAATCTTTGTCTTCTCGATGTTGAGCTTCAATCCATATTGAAGAATACAGTCCTTGATCCTCTGCAGCAAATGCTTCATGTCCTACTCAGTTTCAGCAAGCAAGTTGTGTCGTCTGAATAATGTAGGTTGTTGATGAGTCTGCCTCCAATCTTGATGCCACATTTCTCCTCCAAAAGTCCATCCTTCCAAATGATCTGTTCCACATATAGACTGAAAAGGTATGGAGACAGGATACATCCCTAAAGCACTCCTTTTCTGATTTTGATCCATGCAGCGTTTCTTTGCTCTACTCTGATGACTGCTTTCTAGCCCAAGTATAGGTTTTGCATTAGCACAATCAGGTGTTCTGGGATTCTCATTGCCATTGAGTGGCAGCCGACTCATAGCTGACATCCCACTAGATTTCTGTGGTCTTAAATAGAACTGGAGGAGAAAGACAATTTTCCTCCTGTGGAGTCACTCGTATATATTCAAACTGCCAGAGGGGTGAACACTTTGAGCTTAATTGGCAATTCTTTAGGGACTATTCCAACCTCTTAGATACAAATTCAGTTCATTGCCAGCTAGTCTAAGCCAGCTTATATCTGACCCTCCAGTGGGGTGTCTGAGACTAGAAATCATACAGGAAGATGATCTTTCTTCCTGGGAGTTGCTAGTGGATTCAAACAGACCGCCTTTGGATTAGCAGCACAGCTCCCTACAGGCGAGGCCACCAGAGCACCTTACCCTCTTAGATATAACTTCCCCAAAAATTCAAACCTGTTGATATGAAACGGATTCTGATTTGTGAAATCCTCTGTGTCAGTTACAGAATAGAACTGCTCCCTAGGTGTTTCAAAGTTATACAATTTGGAATGGTCCTCCTAACAATGAGGGGGTTTTGGTTTTTATTAATCTCTGCGAAAGCAGATTGTCAATGGCTCCACTAAGTAGTTTTGAACCACCAACTTTTAGATAAATAGTTGAGTACAGATTGTTTGCACCACCTAGGGAATTTAAAATGCAGATGGTTAAGTGCTTATAAGATTAATTTAAAACTGTCTCCTCCACTATGTTGAAATAAAAACAGGAGTAATTTGTATTGCTAGTCTTGAGTTCACTGGAAAATCATTGCTTATTAAAACTTTCAACTCAGTATTTGTAATCTCTCATTAAAGGGGCATAAAGTGGAAAAGAAGTGCCAAAGGGCTTTTCTGACATATTAAAGTACAGGTACACTGGCAAATGTTTTGTTTCAAACTTTCTATCTCGGCCAACCGGTTCCATTGGAGAGTTTTGATTGCACTGTTCCCTTCCCTGCGGCATAGAAGGAGAAGATTGGCTTGGGGGGGATGGGGAGGACATCAGCCTCTCTCCTATCAAGCAGTCTGTATTTTCCATGACTGCACAAGCAATTTTCTGAAAGTGATTAAGCCTCTGGAGAGCAGCAGTCATTCAGCAGTGGCTGTCCCGGAGAGCGCGCGCGCCCCCTAGGACGCATTGCCAGCCGTTTGGTAATGCAACTCTGGACATTTGGCGGCCACTGAGACTGCAAGGGAGGGGGCCGGATTCCTCTCAGTAGGAGGACTTTCTGGACCAAAGAGAGAGGCTGGCGACGGGAAGGAAGCTCAGATCAAGTGTTTGAATAGCCGACAGGAGACAACTCTATTTTGTGCAGTGCTAACAGGCGCGCGCCACTACGTATTATCTCCCCCGACGACCCTTACCCCCAAATATACCCCGCCGCCCGCCGTGTGTCACCTTCCTGTTCGGAAGTCTTAATAGGTTGCTAGGACAGAACAGGGGGCGCCTGCTCCACCCATCAGATATCCGGTAGAACGAAAAGCCAGTCTCAACAACTTGATTCTCCCGGTTAAATGACAACTTGAGCCGACCATCTGTCTCCAAGCGCTGAGCGTTAGGGTCTGAGGAGGAAGGGCACTTCAGACGTTCCTTTTCGGTTCCGACCACAAATCATATGCTTGTATCTCTTCTCTATTCCACTTAGAGCCCTGTAGCTTAAATTCTTAGTTCCTCCCGGAATGCATGCACCAGAGCGTCTTTGAGAAAATGAAGCTCGGGCATGTGTTTTGAATTTCCACCGCCCCACCCTCCAACCCGGACTGATTTGTGATGATAATCAGTCAAGTTACATTTCTTGTGTGTCTTGCTAGGGGTGTAATAAAGTCAGGACGCTGATGACTGTAATTTACTGGGTGATGTTGCAATGGGGGGGAGGGGGGAGAAGATATGGCCGAGTGCTGAACTTTGCAGCTTGATCCTTTCCTGTATGTCACTGCGTTCATATAAAATGGGGTTCCTAGCAGCAGGGACAGCATCCACCTGGGGCACCCTTACTTTAGAGCTGTCCGTCTCATCAAAGACAAGGAGGCTAACGGGACTCTACCTCAAACTTCCAGAAAAATAAAAATAGTCCCCCTCTCTCATATCCTGGGTGATCTGAAGGATGAAAGAAGAGGCTGTAAAATCCCCTTTGAGAGGTTTGTCTGCTTTTTTTTTTTTTTTAAAGGGTTTTTTAATTTTTTTTTTGTTTTTTTTTTTTGTTTGTCTGCTTTTATTGCTGCAATTTGGTTGGAGTGGGAAAGTAAAGTTGTTTCAGAACATTTGAGGTCGCTTGACTTGGGAAGAAAGAGTGTTAGGGCATAGGGGAAGGTCTCTGATGGAGTATTCCTTAAATACGTGGAAACAAGCAACACTGCGTGCTGCTTGGTGTCTGGGGGCAGACGGAGCAAAATTCACTGTCTTTGGAAGGAAGGAACCCGACAGGGAAGCGGTGCTGGGCCAGTTGAGTGGTGGAACATTGGGTATGGGGGATTTTGGAAATAACAAGGTCTAATTACATCGGGGGTGGGGGTGGGGAATAAATGCAAGAGGAAGCAGAAATGGGCTGGTGGTAGTAAATTGATGTTTGCTGAACTTTGCTTTGGGTTGGCACATGAAATTCAGCAATAAGTGCTCTTAGTGGATGCTGGACACAATTTCTCAGCCAGGCCCCTGGAGGGAGGACCTGCTTTCTCCTTCCCCAGTTGCAAACTGTTAACCGAAGTGAAGTAGTTAAGACTGGAGATCATATTAGGGCAAATGAGGTGGTGGTTCCTGCCAAATAAACCTCTGTCTGGGACCAGGGAAAAACTTCTTCACATGCTATTCCTGGTTTGGCAGTTGGTATTTCTCGGAGTGTGTCAATTCTAAGTCGGCAGGACTCTTGGCAGCTAGGGGTCAAGGCAGGGCAGCCACCACCGCAGACAGCCGCTCGAGCGCTGGGAGGCAGGCCCTGCAATGTTAATAACTGTTAGCATCCCCTCTCACTCCAGGCCTGGCGCGGGGCTCCCGGCCTCACTGCAGGCGCTGGCTCAAGCTCGCGGACAGCTCCCCGCAGCGGGCACGGGGGTTACTGGAAGGCACAGCCGGAGCAGGTCTGCAGAGCTAGGCGGCCGCCACCAGCTTCCTCCCGCCTGTTTTCCGGAGGAAAGTTACCTGTCTAATCTTTTATGAGTCAACCAAGTCCCAGTAGTGTGTGAGGCTTGAGAGCGACGGAATAGTAAAAAATTCTAAGGAGCCTCTAGGGCCCGCCCCGAAATGAACAGGAGGGACAGGGGAGGCGAAGGAATTCTTAGCTATCATGCAATGTGACCCTGTGGTCTTCAGGTCCTAGAGGGGGAGGAAGTGTGGCCCAAGGGTCAGTGTGGCCTGGAAGCCGCGATGGTCGGGGCACACAGGCCCGCGGTGCCCCGGTCAGCCCAGGTCTCTGAGCACGGCCTTCGCTCCCTGACTTGCTACTTCCTCACGTGTTCTCGGCATGGCGGGGATTAAAAATGCAAGGGGGGGAAAATGCAAGCGGAACGGACAGAATGTTCTCAGAGATTACTTGAGGAAAAAAAGTGAAATGCAGATTGCCCTTTTTCCTCCTCTTTAGTGCAGCCACTAAGTTTCTTTCCGCCCCCTCCCCTCCACATTCCTGACCCCTCCCTCCCCCTTCCCTCTTTCTTTCCTTCCTTCCTCTTCTTCCAAGTTCTGGGATTTTTTTTTTCTGTCTTGGCATTGGCCAAAGGCACAAAAAGGCGTTTTCGGAAGCGACTCGGCCGCGCACAAGGGTCATTTGTTTGTTTTGGGACTTGGGACAGGAAATCTCGTTCGGCCTGAGTCACGGCGGCTCCTTCAAGGAAACGCCAGTGCTCGCCGCGCTGCCGGGTCGCCCACCACGCGCCCAGACGCTGGGGCCATGGGGGATTTGCAGCGCGCCCTGGCCCGGACCCGCCTCCAGTCGCTGCTGCGGCCTCGCCACAAAAAAAGGGCCGAGGCGCAGAAAAGGAGCGAGTCGTTCCTGCTGAGCGGACTGGGTAAGCGCCGCGCTCGAGCGCCGGGGCCGGGAGGGGGGCTGGCTTTCCTCCCCGACGGCGGAGGTGTGAGGCCGCGGGAGGGAAGCGTGCGGGAGGCGCGTCGGGGACCCGGGCCCCTTCCTGACGCCGTAGATAGGGCGCCCCCGCCCTCCCCGCGCCCTACCGCCTGCGCCCGCGCGATAACCCCGGGCCGGTGGCGCGCGGCTGCCGAGCCGAGGTCGCAGGGGATCCCCGGCGGGCGGGGGCGCTGCTGGAAGGGCGAGCATGGAATGAGAGTGAACTGGGTGCGCCTCAGCCGACCCGGCACGGAGTCACCCGCGCGCCGCGCACCGGGCGGAAAGCGCCTCGGCGGCCGGCTCTCACTTCCCTGCACGGCCGGCAGCACAAGAAAGGTGGAAAATTACCACCGACTCGCCAGCCCTCCACGCCCCTCCGCTGGCTGTTTCCTTCGCCTCGCTCCTGCATACGCAGGAGTTGACGGAGGCCGATAACCGCCCCGCGCGAGCCCACCCCCGGGTCCTCCGCACCCCCGCGTCCGCCCGGGGTCGTCCCGGCGCGGGGTTACACCGCCCGCCAGCCTCGAGGTCCGGGCAGAGCAGCGGGGGCGGGTCCGGCTCGTGCCGCTTCCCCCTCGCCGCGCAGGCTCCGCCCACCGGCGACACAGTGTTTATAAACCGGCGGCGCGGCCGGAGCGCAGTGTAGGCTCTGCCGGTCTTCTCTTTTCTGCTAGTTCTTTTCCCTTGATCTCTCTCTCTCGGCGGCTATGACTGTGAAAACCGAGGGTGCTAGGGCCACCCTCACTTACTCCAGAATGAGGGGAATGGTGGCAATTCTCATCGGTGAGTGTAGGACCTGCGACGTCTCTTCAGGGATTTACGAAATGGAAATTTTTGAAGATCCTGGATCAGATTAGCGTGTGTGTCATTGGACACTGAAAAGCCGTCTAAACATTTTCTTTTTCATCCACAGCTTTCATGAAACAGAGGAGGATGGGTCTCAACGACTTTATTCAGAAGATTGCCAACAATTCCTATGCATGCAAACAGTAAGTTTGGGGAATTTGAAGAACTAAAAATAGTAAAGTTTGAATTCACTATTTGCTAATATGTTGGCCAGCAAGGCAGAGTAGGGAGACTGGATTTCCTCTAATTGTAATTTAATATTTTAAGTGCTTAAAGGAAATTTACTTATTTGGCATATTCTGAAGTTGGAGGATAAAATCAGTCATGTTTACCTAATTCACGCCCTATCTCCGTGAAAAGCTACATTAATTTCAGTGTTTTGGAGGGTTTACGGCATAGTTCATAGAGAGTTGCGCTGCTAAATTACGCAGAGAGGCCAAGTACCTCTCTGGCGCTTCAAATCCACCAGCAGCTCCAAGGGAGACAGGTGGCCAATCTCCCTTTAGATTCATCTGTGTTCAGAGTGTGTGTGTGTAGAGTGTGTAGAGAGAGAGTGTGTGTGTGTGTGTGTGTGTGTGTGTGTGTGTGTGTGTGTGTGTGTGTGTGTGTGTGTGTGTGTGAGAGAGAGAGAGAGAGAGAGGGAGGGAGGGAGGGAGGGAGGGAGGAGTGTGTTCCCCCGCCCCCCTTCTAAAGGAATAATACTTAGTTCAAATGTTTTTGGTTTCAATACTTTTGAATTTGCCTTAAAAAAAAAAGCCAGGAACTCACTTTCAGTGCTCCTCTGCCCCCTGGTGGCCGGTCACAAGAGCCTCAATTCCTCCCTTTATTCTCTGCAGCCCTGAAGTCCAGTCTATTCTGAAAATCTCCCAGCCTCAAGAACCTGAGCTCATGAATGACAATCCTTCTCCTCCGGTAAGTACACACTACTTGTGAAGCACTGCAAATGAGTCAGTTGGCATTTTCACATATTAAAATAGTGTTTCTAGAAATTAGTATAAAGGCAGGAATTACTAGTTTATGGCATAACAAATGACCTAAGAATTGAGTCCAAGGAATATCCCAAGAGGAAATTCAGTTTGCATACAAAACCTGTGTAATCTCCATACTCTTGTGGAATTCCTATACTCTCACACATTAATTTGTATGAATGAAAAATAGTTGGGGATATGTTAGATAGACAAGATGTGAACGTAGAAAGACAGATTTGCCTCGTTCATTGGTAGATAAAATAATGTTGATATTGCATATATTTTACTATTTGAAGGAAGGCTATTAAAAGAATTTTTTTTTGGTTTTTTTTCTCTAGCCAAGTCCTTCTCAGCAAATTAACCTTGGCCCATCATCTAATCCACATGCGAAGCCATCTGACTTTCACTTCTTGAAAGTAATTGGGAAAGGCAGTTTTGGAAAGGTAATTTCAAACATGAAAACCTTACTCTGGCAGCCTTTCATGCATTTTGCATTTTACTTCCTTTCTGAATGTGGATAGCAGAGTGATCTTTTTTTTTTTTTTAATTGACATTTCAGGTTCTTCTCGCAAGACACAAGGCAGAAGAAGCATTCTATGCAGTGAAGGTTTTGCAGAAGAAAGCAATTCTAAAGAAGAAGGAGGTATGAAATGTGCTGGATGTCTTAGGGTTGGAGGGAGACAAGAAGCCTCCTACTAGCCTTTGTATTTTGGGTGCCAGTTTTTAAATTTGCCACTAAAATGTAATTGCTTTCATTTCTAGGAGAAACATATTATGTCAGAGCGGAATGTTCTCCTGAAGAATGTGAAGCATCCTTTCCTGGTGGGCCTTCACTTCTCATTCCAGACCGCTGACAAATTGTACTTCGTCCTGGATTACATTAACGGTGGAGAGGTGAGCAGAAGGGCTACCAGTTAACCTTGGGGGTCAGTGTGGGGTTGACTGGGATTTCAATTGACAAGACACTCCAAGATACTTAGCGAGAAATGTTACCAGAATTAGCATTTCCTCTCCTCAGCCAGGCATCCAGTAGTTAATAAGACTACTTCCGGCAATTGTTCTCTGTAGCTATAAATGTCAAGACCAATTAAATGCATTGTTAACAGGCTTTGGCAACCCAGGCTGACTTTGTTTTGTCTCCTTGCAGTTATTCTACCATCTCCAGAGGGAGCGCTGCTTCCTGGAACCACGGGCTCGCTTCTATGCTGCTGAAATAGCCAGTGCCTTGGGTTACCTGCACTCTCTGAACATCGTGTACAGGTGAGCAGAAAAGCTCTTCAGGGCACCTTTCTGAGTGAATGTAAGGGAGATGCAGCCCCCTTCTCTGAGTCTGCAAAGAATTTGTTTATATGACACTTGGCCACCTAACACCAGGCTTCTCCAGCATGTGAGCTGTCTTGACTGTCCTGGGGAGCCAGCCAACTAGGATTGTGCCTAATCCAGACTAGATTAGCTGAACAAGGACTCCCTTTTTTATTCACTGTACGACCACAGTGAATTAAAAATGCATCTAATTACTCCTAGCAATTAGCTTTAGAAAGGAGTTTTTATGAAACATTTTTAATGTATGCCTTTTTTTTTTTTAAACAGAGATTTAAAACCAGAGAATATTCTGCTAGATTCTCAAGGTCACATCGTCCTGACTGACTTTGGCCTCTGCAAGGAGAACATAGAACACAATGGCACCACATCTACATTCTGTGGCACACCTGAGGTAGGAGCCCTCTTACGTTGCCTCCCCTCCCCATCTCCCCTCCAGGAATGCAAACCAGTCTCAGATTTCTTAGTCCTTTCAGCACAAGTCAGATATGTTTGCTCTTTGATGCAACCTGAGAAATTCCATAGCCAATACTACTCGAATTAAAACTAGCCGATTTCTAAATCTCCAACTAAGATTTGTCGGATGCCCTGTACCTTCTTCTAAATGTCCATCCACATAGACAAGCAGACCAGCAGTGCTCTTTAACATCTGGAAGAAATTGAAAACACCCTCCAAGTTAACCCCCTACCATGAGTCTCTCTGCCTCTTGGGATTCAGGGCTCTAAATTCCATTGTCCTGATCTCTTTCAGTATCTGGCACCAGAAGTACTTCATAAGCAGCCTTACGACAGGACAGTGGACTGGTGGTGCCTGGGAGCCGTGCTGTATGAGATGCTGTATGGCCTGGTGAGTAACACGTGGGGGCCTGGGGACCCTTGCCTGCCTTGGTTTGCTGACCCTCCCTAGAGCACTGTCTTCATACAGTCAAGTGTATTGATGGCACTCCTGTCAGTTTATTAGGTCTTGCCCTTATCCGTAAGCTTATCAAAAGCCTTAGAGGTTATATTTTTTCAAGACAAGTCTTAACCTAGTGGAGTGGTCTTTGTCAGTTGATATTTTTTTTTAGATTAAGATCACTCTTCACCTGGCTTATTATTGATAACGGTTGCAAAAGAGACCTTCAAAATCAGGGGCAAAAAGACAAAAATGTAAAGAGAGGAAAAAGCATACGGATCGCTTATCTTTTACCCTATTGATTCTGCACGCTATGCAAAACTTTCAATCAAGTCCTAAGGGGTTTTTGTTTTCCTCTTGCAGCCTCCTTTTTACAGTCGGAACACTGCTGAGATGTACGACAACATTCTGAACAAACCCCTCCAGCTGAAGCCAAATATTACGAATTCTGCAAGACACCTCCTGGAGGGCCTTCTGCAGAAGGACAGGACAAAGAGGCTTGGCGCCAAGGACGACTTTGTGAGTCAGAGGGGTTTTTCCCCCTACTCTTGTGGGCTATCTAGGGAAGTACACTAGACTTTACTGCCCTGATTGAATTTCGCCTGTCTATATTAATCTTGTGTTTCTTCTCAACAGATGGAGATTAAGAATCATGTCTTCTTCTCCCTAATTAACTGGGATGATCTCATTAATAAGAAGATTACTCCTCCTTTTAACCCAAATGTGGTAAGTATCTAAGTATAGGCAGACTCAAAGGGCATGTCTTTTTTAAGAGTTGGTGAGGGCAGGGACCTCCCAGGGAAGAAATTGGCAAGCTTTTTTTATTCTTAGATTGATTGGTTATCCCAACAGAAAGCACATACTTTTTTGATATCTTTATCAAGTAATAGATATTTTAAAAGTCCATTTTCTTTTTATTAAAATGTATATGACCCTTGAGATTTTTTAGAGATCCCTGAGTAGCCTCAGTTGAGTTTTTTACTATTCAAAGGGTCAGTAGTTCAAACCCACTCAGTGGCTTCACCCAGTGGCAGTCTGTTTCAGCCAATAAATAAAAACAGAAAAAGCAGAGCAGCACACAGAGCATTTCTGCAGATTCAGGGATTGCCTTGAGTCAGATCCACTTGATGGCAACCTTTTTATACTTGAAATAATTGATGCAAAAGGTTTCCATATCCTGTCATATAAAGCCATTATGAGTCTGAATTAACTCAGCAGCAACTGGTTTCTTGGCAAAGGCCAAAATGAAAACAAGATTTAAAAGAAAATTCTTTTTTAAAAAATAAAAAAGTTTAAAGGCTAAAGTAGGATGTCCGTGTCCTGTATCTAGAGTGAACCTTGACGGTGTTGTTCTTTACCTTCCTCTAACAGAGTGGGCCCAGCGACCTGCGGCATTTTGACCCTGAATTTACTGAAGAGCCAGTCCCCAACTCCATCGGCAGGTCTCCGGATAGCATCCTCATCACAGCCAGCGTCAAGGAGGCAGCCGAGGCCTTCTTGGGCTTCTCGTATGCGCCACCCATGGACTCGTTCCTCTGAAGTGTCCTCGGTTTCCTTTTCATGTGTTTTTCAACGTGTTAGTTAGCCCTTTGGCATAGCTGCCAGCTGACAGGACATCTCATAAGAGAATTTGCACATCTCCGGAAGCCTGGCAGCCTTCTTCGCGCATGGTTTGCTGGAAGCGTTCCCGAGCACATCTTCCAGTGAGCTCATGAGGTTTTCACAAGTTCTTCCTCCCAACACGGTGCTATCTCTGAAACGAATAGAGCATTCGGGCACTGCCTTAGGCAGAGGGAGTGGGAGCTGGCAGGAAGACGCTGTTCTCCAGAAGGGTCTCCCTTAAGGTCTGTCTGGGCTGTGATACTGACAATTTTGAAATGTGCCTTTTCCGAGGAGACCATGTTAGCGCCAAAGCTTTACCTACTGCAGAGTGTTCCAATCTCCTTCCTTCTCTCTTGTGGGTTTGCTGTGTGAGCGGTGGTTGCGTGGTCAGCTCGATCACAGATTGAGTTCTGAGCATCAGTGTGACCCTTGCAGGACACTACAATGTGGGACATTGTTTGTTTCTTCCATATTTGGAAGATAAATTTATGTGTGACAGGTGTTTATTTTGGTTGGTTTGTTGTATTGTTTCAGTTTAGTTTTGTTTCATTTCTTTCTACTCTTCTAATTTTGAAAAATTTTATTGAAATGATCTTGCGATGACTTGTACCCAGATGCTTAAAGAAAGCATTGCTGCTACAAATATTTCTATTTTTTGAAAGGGTTTTTATGGACCAATGCCCCAGTTGTCAGTCAAAGCCGTTGGTGTTTTCGTTGTTTGAAACATCACCTGTAAAAATGGGCATTATTTATGTTATTTTGTTTTTGTTTTGCATTCCTGATAATTGTATGTATTGTATAAAGAGAGTCTGTACATTGAGTTATAACACTAGCATATTTAAACTTACAGACTTATTTGTAATGTAAACTACCCTTTTCATGTACTGTAATTAACATGTGTATAATATGTATAATCCTTATCCTCCCCCCACCACACACCATTTTTTGCGTGTGAGGAACCGATTTTGGTTTGCAATACAACATTGAAAAGTATTTACAAAAGTGGTGTCACATGTGTTCTTTTGTGACGAGGCACACACACCTCAGAGAGACTGAGGGTTCCATTCCAACTCACTGCAGTTAAATACAAAGATGGAAATCCAAGTTCTCTATGAACTTTCATTAAAGTCTCAATAAAAAAAGAAAAAAAGGTGCGCCTGATAGAGGCCATGGTTTTTGCAATCACTTGTTATGCATCAGAGAGTTGGACAATGACTAGGGAGGACAGAAGGAGAATTGATGCCTTTGAGCTGTGGTGCTGGAGAAGAGTATTGAATGTACCATGGACTGCCAAGAAAACAGATTCAACCTAGAGAGGGTTAAACCAGGCTGCTCCTTGGAGGCAAGGATTCTGGGGCTTCCCCTGACATACTTTGGACATGTAAGGAGAGACACGTCTTTGGAGAGGGACATCATGCTGGGCAGAGTGGAGGGATGGCGCAGGAGGGGAAGACCCTCTATGAGGTGGATTGATTCAGTGACTGGGGTAATCGGGATGGGTATGTCGGAGGCAATGAGATTGGCACAGGATAGAGCAGGGTTTAGGGCTGTTGTACATAGGGTCGCTATGAGTCGCAAAAGAGGCGCAAACGACTCGACGGGCACATAACAACAACCCCAATAAAGCAAGTGCCATGAGGTTTTTGGGTTTTCTATACACATAAAAGTTATCTTTACACCACATTTCAGTCTATTAAGTGCATAATAGCACTATGAAAAAGCTGGAAACACGAATTTCCAAACTGACACAGACAGGAAGTGCTGGGAAAATGGCACCATCAGGCCTGCTCCGAGCAAGCTGCCATAACCCCTCCATTTTTACAAAGTGTTCTGCCTGTGAGGCGCTAACCTAAAGGCCAAGGGCCTCTGGTGATTTTAGTCCACCAGCAACACATTGGGATAAAGATGGACAATCTCCTCCAGGGCCATTTACATACTCTAAAGGCCCATTGGAGGTCGACCATGAGCCAGTCTGGCTCTAAAGCCATGAGTGTACTTCTTTTGTTTTTGTTTTTTGTTTGTTTTTTTTCCCAATCAATGATTTATTCCTTGCTCATACCTTTTTACAGAAAACCAGAATAACATAAATGACAGTTAAATACATGGATATTACCCAAAGGAATATGCAAGTATCAAATTGTATTTATCTATAGAAAGAGACAATACGGAACTCATTATCAGCTATCTAAACAAGCATTGAGGCTGATTGTGGAACGGAACATTAATTACTCATGAAATTTAAATTGCGGCAATTTATATATATATTAGGTAACTATTCTTTTTTTTTAATGCAGTAAACATAATTTATCCAGTTTTTCTCAGTCTTACCCCCACCCCAATGTCAACTTCATTCTATAACAGTAGCACCATATAATATTTGTCTCTTTGTGACTGAGATTTTTTTACTCAGCATAATGTCTTCCAGGACATCACTTCTTTTGTGAGTGGGGTGTGATAAAGTGAGGAATGCTTGTATTCTGGTTAAGGGGGCAGAATGAGTCAATTTAAAGCTCGAAATGTTGTAGGCCCTTAGTATTTTGCTTCAAAAAATAATGGAGAGTGCAACAATGAATGAATGGAAATCCATAATCTCTGTAAACTTTCATTAAAATTAAAAAACAACCCAAAAAGAATGACTTCTAATTTCCGAGGCGCATAGGATGAGTCTAAAAAGCCGGGAGAGTCCAGACCTTGGGGAGCTCATGTGGCCCAGAGGGAAGGAATGATGTAAACCCGAAGGAAAGTGGTTGCTCCTTAAGAGGAAGCTGGGCAGTCTCCGTCAGTGCACTTGCCCGCTCCAGTGTGGAGTGTCGGCTATAAGACAATTCCGACTCGATGGCACATAACAATTCATCTTTAAATCCATCAAAACAAATCCTTTTCCATTTACCCACCTTGCAATAACAATCATAAAGCAATGTTCCTCTATAAATTCTCTGTCCTGTGAAGCTGCACTGTTTGTCCTGACATTTGAATTGCCTTAAGTAACAGGTAAGTCTCTGAACAAATATTTGAGTGCCTACTCTGAGTGCTGAGAATGTTAATAAGTCAAGGAGACAGTACAATGCCTTCTAGAAAGATAAAGAGAGCAGATGGTCTAGAAGCATTTTGAGCTCACATGGTAGGATACTTAATAGGAAAGAGAAGAAAGTCTCCATAGATCATCATCTTGAACCAAAGATGTTTGGACGTCACCTTTCTAGACCTTTCTCCCACAACCCATCTGTCCCTCTCTGGTATTGTGGTGGCTTCCGTGCAACTAAGATGCTGGAAGCTAGGCTGCCAATACTTCAAATACCAACAGGGGCACCTGTGGTGGACAGCTTCTGGGTGATAGAGTAGGAAAAAAGACCTGGCAATCTATTTCCAGAAATTAGCCAATGCAAACTCTATGGATCACAACAGATTATGGGCCAATATAGTCCTAGAAGATAAATTCTTTAGAAAGCATTCAAATTGGGACAATGCATACCAGCTACCAAAAGAGAAGATATGTTTTTAGATACCACTGAGTAGGACACCCTGCTCAAGCCAGTGCCACCACCTTCACCATCTCTGCTGCGCTTAAACCCATTCCCTGGGTCAACCCATCTCATCAAGAATCTTCACCTTCGCTGACTGCATTTTCCCAAACATGATGTCTTTCTACAGGTACTGGCCTCTCTTGACAATGTGCCCAAAGTCTTACCATCTTTGTTTACAAGGAGCTCTCTGACTAACACTTCTTATAAGAGATTTGTTTGTTTTTTTACTGGTCTGTGATTGATTAAAGTTTAGTAGACTATTACTGGGGGCGGGGGGGGGGGGAAGATGAAGATGTGCTCCCAAAGATGGCATAGGACCAGGCAATGTTGGTTCCATTGTGCACAGGGTTATCACAACCAACAGACTTTTCACATACTTTTCTAGCCAAGATTTAAATCTCTTCTCGAACCTTACTATTGTTGCACTTTGTTTTCTTACCCTTATTAAGCTTTCTAAGGGAACTCTCATCCAGGGTTTTCCTCCCCTGTGCTCACCCTCTACCCTTCTAAGCATGATGTCCTTCTCTAAGGACTGGTCCCTCCTGGGAACATGTCCAAAGTATGTTAGACAGAGCTTCAAAATCCTTGCCTCCAAGGAGCAGTCTGGATTCACTCTCTCCAGGACAGACCTGTTTGTTCTCTTAGTGCTCCATGGTATGTTTAATACTTTTCTCCAGCACTACAACTCAAAGACATCGATTCTTCCTTTATCTTCCTTAGTCACTGTTCAACACTCTAATGCATAGCAAGTAATTGTGAAGAAGACTTGGATCCTAGAGATGGGTTGATTTAGTGACTGGGGCAGTAGGGGTTAGGAGATAATAAAATTGACCTGATATAGAGCAAGATTCAGAGCTGTTGTACTTGGGGTGGTTATGAGTTACAAGTGACTGGACACCACATAACAACAACAAGGGAATTCTGGTGGCATAGTCCATCAGAAGTAGCACTGCTAACCCAAAGTCAACCTCTCTGGCAGTTTGAACCCACCAGTAGCTTCTTGAGAGAAAGATGGACAATCTCCTTCCATGTGACCTACAGCCTTTGAAAAATCACTGGAAGGTCAGTTATCAATGATTTCCAACTTGGTAGCAATGAATTTAAGTTTTGGAGGCTTGTGTGTTTTTTTGTTGTTGTTGTTTTTTTTTTTTCATTCACTCTCTGGATTTTTAAAAAAAAATTGTTGGTTTTCTTACAAAGTGTGTATACATTGTGTTTCACACTGTTCTTCATTTACATTGTGTTTCAGACAATCATTCTCATGCACTGTGTTTTATAAAATTAATCACCATTGGATCTTGCCCCTCATTACCCTGTCTTTTTAGGTCCCTACCAGATCCTTATACTACAGAACAATACCATTGATTTCATGTGCAAGCAAGATTCTATTGAAGATTATCCAAAAACGACTGGAACAGCACATCAGCAGAGAACTGCCAGAAGTTCAGGCTGGGTTTAGAAGGGGTCGTGGTACTAGGGATATTGTTGCTGATGTTAGATGGATCTTAGCTGAAAGCAGAGAATACCAGAAGAATGACTATCTGTGTTTCATTGACTATGCAAAGGCATTTGACTGTGTGGCTCATAACAAACTGTGGCTGACTCTGAGAAGAATGGGAATCCCAGAACATTTAATCGTGCTAATGCGAAACCTATACTTGGACCAAGAGGCAGTCGTCAGAACAGAGCAGGGCAACACTGCATGGTTCAAAATTGGGAAGGGTGTAAGCCAGGGATGTGCCCTGTCTCCATACCTTTTCAACCTGTATGCAGAGCAGATTATCCGAG